AATTATATACGGTACATTTTCTAACACGAGTCAGTCTAGGGAGTGTATGTCATGCAAGGTGAAGTGGCCTAGACACAACAACGTCAGCTAATGCAACAAGGCAAAATGACATTCTTAAGACATTCCTGTCTGCAACTCATACTACACGTTTCCATACGTAAGTTATGTTTATGAATTCATAAATTCAAACATGCTTAATACAAATTGTTTTTTTTTTCTAAAACGGCTACGTTTGCAAATGACATAAATTAAATCTTCAATATTGGTTTGACCCAGATTCTGTGCCTAATCTTATCTGTTCTCTGTTCCTCATTAGGCTTCTTCTCTGTTAATGTTACTAAATTTAATTTTACTGTCACTATGTAACTTTTACAATGCAACTAAAACAATGACCATGATAATTGCGTACACCGTGCACATAATATAGGTTTGAAGATTAATGTGAAGAAATAATATGGATGACACTGTTCTAGCCAACGAAGGTCATGTTTTACTTGATTGTATTATAAAAAGCCATTCTCACACTTGTAAACGTTTTATTTTTAGTTATATTTTAAATTTATTTAATAAATCAAAGGAATAAAAGGTTGCGTATATGTTGAAAAGAATCCCGAGCAAAATGATTGAATATATCAATATCAGTTTATGGTGTGCTATTTATAGTGGACAGTGGCTCAGAATAGGAAATTTGGTCCTTGAACGTTTCCAATATTGTAAGATTTTACTAGGTTAAGTACACTAATTACAAAAAAAAAAATGTATTTTAGGTTTGTTTTTTTCCCATTACTTTTTTATGTACATTACACCCCTTCTCAACAAACGAAATGGTGAACACTATTCATAGCAATTAGGAGCGTGTGCCTGTGTGTTCTTGTGTGTTCCTGCAAATTCTAGAGAAATACATGAATTCCTTACAGTAGAAAGATGAAAGATCTACTCCATATGTATGTATGTATGTATGTATGTATGTATGTATGTATGTATGTATGTATGTATGTATATATATATATATATATATATATATATATATATATATATATATATATATATATATATATATATATATATATATATATATATATATATATATATATAAAAAGAATACAAATCATGTGGCGAATAACAACCCTCTCAAGCGTACTGGATCCACCAAGGGATCACGTTTGTCAGGGATTAATTAAAATAGATGCAATAAACTGACGACGAACAGTACGAAACTAGTAACTAACTAGCCTAAGCGCTTTCGACTCTTAATGAGTCTTTTTCAAAGGCAAATACAAAACATAGTTACGACAAACAAATAAACACAAAAACGTTGCGTTTGTAAACCTCTACATTTCTATCTTCACATGTGCTAAAACTATAAATACAACCAGCTTGTATAGACTAGTTGCGGAAACTGAAAACGTTGTATAATTCCCTAAAAGTCTACAAGCCAAAGCGACATCTATTTTTACTTTGTGTACATATGTAACGCAGATTATATCCCGCATATTTGGTTCTATACCGGTTATTCTTATAGTAAAAATTGAAGGATAAGAAGATTTAGAAAATGTTAAATTCTACTAGTGCATAGTTTTCATTTTCTAGTCTTCTTGGTTTAGACCGCTTGGTTCCAAATGGCGAATAACAACCCTCTCAAGCGGTCTAAACCAAGCGGTCTAAACCAAGAAGACTAGAAAATGAAAACTATGCACTAGTAGAATTTAACATTTTCTAAATCTTCTTATCCTTCAATTTTTACTATAAGAATAACCGGTATAGAACCAAATATCCGGGATATAATATGCGTTACATATGTACACAAAGTAAAAATAGATGTCGCTTTGGCTTGTAGACTTTTAGGGAATTATACAACGTTTTCAGTTTCCGCAACTAATCTATACAAGCTGGTTGTATTTATAGTTTTAGCACATGTGAAGATAGAAATGTAGAGGTTTACAAACGCAACGTTTTTGTGTTTATTTGTTTGTCGTAACTATGTTTTGTATTTGCCTTTGAAAAAGACTCATTAAGAGTCGAAAGCGCTTAGGCTAGTTAGTTACTAGTTTCGTACTGTTCGTCGTCAGTTTATTGCATATATATATATATATATATATATATATATATATATATATATATATATATATATATATATATATATATATATATATATATATATAACCAGTTTCCAGGATCGTCCTACCAGTGTCCGGACTAGTCTTGGGCGGTGACTTGTCTTGTGATTCCACGATCGTTACCAGGTGCCCAATGAACTGCATTTTGATGGATGCCAGGTCCGGTTGTGTCTTCTGCAAGAGTGACTGTCGTAAGTCAGTCTATGTATGTAAATTAGAAGCTAGAAATCTTTCAAGATCGTCAGTAGTGAACAGTGCCGGATTAAACCCTGTGGAGGTCCCTAGGCAGTCGAAATCTTGTCCCCCCCCCGCAAATTATTTCCTAATACGTCAAGATGAAATCAATTCAACATTTTTTGATCAGCTGTCGCAGGGCTCCTAAAAGGCGTGGAGCCCATGGGCTGGTACCTACTCTGCCCATTTGGTAATCTGGCACTAGTAATGAAAATGACAAAGAAGTGACTAAGGACGATGATAACCTCCGATTTTTTTTAAGTACTAAACTCCAACGTTTGACACACTAAATTTCAAAACAGTAAAAACAAATCTAAATATTCTGTTAAAATTACGATAATGTAACTGAAATAGTTGCAAGAACTGTTAGCAATCTCGTGTCCAATAATCTCCATTTCCCGCCTATTTTTTTGCCAAGAGTCGGTGTCCCACCAGGTCCACACACAACCATCAGACGGTCTAGGTGCCAGTATAGGTCATATATCCGGTTCTGGGTCTCAGCCCTGGGTATGTGACACGGATGTTATGGCAACCTGCCCTACTGAGTGCATAACCCTGGAACAACAAACAGGCTGTACGATCTGCAGGAAAGACTGTGCTCATACGGCCGGTAAGATATTATTTTATAATGAAAACTCATCATCGAAATTAAACTTTGAAGCGATTATAGTCCGACTATACCAACCCGTTTGCATACTTGTCTCAGTCAGGTTAGAAAATATAAATCAACGATTCAATTGACTTAGTTTTGTGCACTTTTTGCCACATTAAACGTTTTCGTTATTGAAATCGGTTGGGGGTGGAGGGGTTTACAAACAAACGGGAAGACTTTTAAATTAGTAGAAACTTAAGTCCAATGGTCTATTAGCAGAGCTGGATACTGGACGTGCTCTAAACTCCAGTAAATTGAAATTTAGATCTATTTAACTGTATCATTTATTTATATAAAACTAAAGACACGTTGGCGACATTTATGCTTGGAGCAAAACCACCAAAGGAATTGACCAGTAATGTACATTCACGGCTATCGCAACAGAGAACGTCTGTTCCCATATGCATCAACTTTTACAACTTCCTGCTTAACGGTAAGCAGTATATCATTAACGGGACATGAGAAAAGTAATCACAATTTGTTTTGTAGTACTTGCAAGCAAAATTTCTCTTTTCACAAGAAAAGGAAAGATATCTATAAATTGGTCATAGATTATAACCAATAAACTTCTTTCAGGCAGCTTTTGCTATGAAGTAGAGAAGCTGAAAATGAAACTGAACGTACATTAAACTGGCAGATGGTGAGTTCTAACAGCTATTGTAAAATTTAAAAATCACAAGAAACGGTTGTTAAAATCAACATAATTTCACAAAAGAAAGCATGCATCATGTAATACAGATTCTAATTTATTTGCATACATGTCTAGAAATCTCACCGGTTTGAATGACATTGATCAAATTGTATTTATACGTATCAGATTAAAACTATCTTTTGTGTTCAAAATCGTTATAACGTTAATAATATTGTCACCCTACAGGTTCAAATATACCAACTAGCGCACCGTCCAGCGGTTCTCAGGTGGAACCTAAGTCTACCCAAGGTAACGTTTAACGTCGACTTCATTATCGGCTTGAGAAATTTGATTGGCTATTTTATAAATGTATTATTTAAAAGCTCACAGAACATAGGTTAACATTAATACAATTTTTTTAAAAAAAAGTCTAGATTATGAATCTCTCCCCAAATTTTATGTCCAATGCTCCACTACAAACAACAGTCTCAGGATCTTAGGAAGTGCTGTTAAGATTGTTTAGACTTATGAAATTGCGATGTTTACACATAGGGTCGGGCTACAAGTTCTCACAACTTAGAATAAGCTCTTTCCCTACAACCGATAAGAAACGTACATTCATGACGTCACTAAATTAATATTATTTAATACTCATATATGTAAATATACATGTTTCAAAGAAAATATGTATACGAGAGAGAGAGAGAGAGAGAGAGAGAGAGAGAGAGAGAGAGAGAGAGAGAGAGAGAGAGAGAGAGAGAGAAAATTTATGATCTTAACAGAAATTGGCCTCTAGCGAGAAGACGTACACCAAAAGGAATACAATATATAATAATTAAAAACATAATCTCTTTCATTATCAAATCGGTAGTAATTAATCGAGCAGAGAAATCAGATTTTAAATGATCCTTAATTATACAGTTTCGTGGCCTTTATATATGTTTGGAACAAGTCAGATAACCGAATATTAGCATTCTCGGTAAAACAGATTTTATCCGTATAAAAAAAAACGAAATATATGTAGTCGCAGGTGGAATGAGATGATACAGATTTTGAACATATTCCTACGTTGTTCAAGATAGCATTTGCAGGAAAATATGTAATTATATCAATTTTCTATATCACCACCACAAGCACACAATGGATCATCTCTCAAATGATTATATTGTCATTGTGTTTATGTGATTTGGATTTTTAATGTAACTTTAACAATATTTTGGTCATATCGCTACGATGTCTGCAGTGCGGCAGTGTACATGTAGCATCATGTCCCATTATCCAGATACCAGGCCGACCAGTCCTGACACTAACTTCTTAACTCTGAGCACCAAGCTAGGAAACTGCTAGTACCATCTTTAAAAGTCTTTGGTAATACTCGGTCGTGGTTCAAACCCGAAACCTTCCGCGTCCTAGGTAGACGCTCTAACCACTTAGGCCACTGAATCGGTATAATGTTATTATGAAAATCACGTTAATTTTCACTCTAGTATGTATAACAGACAATTTACTGTTTACTGTTAGCTTCTGTTTACCTCTTTTGACAGAATAGTTATTTCACCTTTTATTAAATCTGGCAGTGATATCCAGACATGACTAGATAATATAAGGATGACGTTTTACTTATTTCGTGTCGGGCATAAATTAACAGCAGTCCTATCTCTAAGATTACACCAGTTTGTCTGACCAACAAGTGGTGGTAGAAGGTCAACAAGATAAGGAGAGACACCGTATACAAATTTATGAAAGTAACAAAGTGTACGAAATGTTCGTCTGTATGTCAAGGTAGAATAACCAGTTTTCTTAAAAATCTTACAACACGAAACACTTTTAGTAAATCCAGTCAAAATTCTCACTACTGCTAACTGAATATTTTCTTTGAGTTAAAGAGTTTTCAGTCTAAATGCCATCTCATACATCAGCATATTTTAAAAGAGATGGATGTATGTAAAACTTAGTTTTTCTACGCTTTTCAACTAAATGAATATATATTTAAGTATTTTAAAGGCAGGTATCGTTTTTGAGGTAAATAGAAGTATTATCAATATGATTTAGTCCAGTAGTCCAGGCAACTGAAAGTTGTCAAGATGTGAATGGAATTTAACCATAAAATATGAATTTCGTTTTTAAAGTTTAGTTCGAAAAAAAAACGGCTCTAGCTTACGGGAAAATAGCATTTCTCAGTTTTTGTTAGATGCGGTGTACATTATACGTACAAAACAATTGTAATTTCGCCATACATAACTCCTATCATTGGAATTATATTGCTTAAAAGAATCATTTTTTAATCCTGTTATTTCTTATAGCGAAGAATGAAATGAATAATTAATAGCTACGGAAGACTTAAAAAAAAAAAAACCCACGTACTTTGCTTGATATGTCAATAATAATACAAGCTAATTGGAAAATGAAGCATGTACAAATAATTGGTACAAAAAAATCAATTATAAAATTAGTTCATGTTTGTATGCAAGATTTGTGTTTTTAAAGCGGAATAAAAGGTAACAATTTTCTTGAATTGAACGTAATTAATGTATGGGAAACATGTCAGATTCAAGTCACTATTAACTTTTTTTGAAAAAAATTCTCCATTTCATAATTTTGATCCTTCTTTCCTAAACATTCTCAATTTAATTGCAATGTCAAATTCCGAACTACCCATGTGTTAAGTTTTGTATTTCTTAAATGGTTGTATAACAAGCTAAACGTATATAAGACACATCTGTCCCTACATTTGCTGCTACTTTGAAATCTCTTGCATTTCCATAAATTTATTTATTGTATCCTATCAAAGTTTGAGTTTGAGGTATACCGGATCTTGCGAATGCTGGGCCATGCCTTGTAGTTCTTGCAATAAGAAAAATTAACTTACAAAATTGATAGTTAAGAATCGTCTTGTTTGAGAACGGCGTTGCATTGACGAAGAGGTTTATGGTGGGGGCGGGAGTAGGAAAGAATTTTATTTAATTTAACAAAACTGATATAATTAATAATCAAAACTATACAGAGTTCGCATATGGTCTCATTTACGAGGAGTTATGTTAATAAAGAATTCGATATTTAGTCATAAACAAAAACGATCACGCAGGTACTAGAAAATTATCATATATAAAAAGACGTATTTTCGCAGTTGCATTAACCTACCTGCGTAAGATATCCCATCATATTCACCATACAAACAATTTTCAACAAAAGCCTTCAGACTTGAATGCCTCTATTAATTTAAAACCTTATAAAAAGCACTATTAATTAACAGAAAGAAGATTGATCTCATTGCAGCTCCTTCTACTGGGTGCCCACAATTCCCGTCAAATTGTCCACAAAACTACATAAAGTTCGAAAATGGATGTCTCGTTTGCACAAGTAAGTACTTTGCCCTTTTCTTTACAGGATCTATGAAATTATTCGTAATTTGCCAAATAAAATTAAGGAAAAAAACAGTTTTTGTAGCAACACGTACATAACAAAGTTTGGCATTAAGAGTCGTAACATTTCTAAAACGATGACGAGAAATGTTGGAAATCTATCTCATTCAAGGTCTCCTCGGTATCATGGTGCATGATAACTTTGGCTGAAATGAAATACTCTTTAGTAAAATTATGCTGCAGAAAATAAAGTTAGGTTGATGACTAATCAGGGTCCATAACTCTTCCATCTATTACTGTGGCACGTTTGCTACGAACCTCACTGCAGATATCATCAACATATAACAGCATGGAAAGTTTAGTTGAAATCCAACAAAATTTAGTAAAATTATGCAGTGGAAACCAAAAGCAAGAATGCTGAGCAATAGCGGGAACCTTTCAAGCCTATGTAAAAATTTACCATAATAAGCTGAATGGTAAGTATACTGGGTGCAAGGCTCTGCCATTGCTATGTAATATTGATATGTAATAATCAATAAGTCTGTCAAAAACGGGAAATGCTGACAAAATCTTTACAGGCCATGCAAAGCTACAATCACAATTCCATGTGAAAATGCCAAGTTAACTGTCAAGCACCAGTTATGTTTAAGGCTTGCAGAGCTTTACTATAGTTATAAGTATTGACAGACAAGTGGTTGGATAAAAGGCAATAAGGCTGAATGCAGGGTCTTAACTATTTTCGACTCTCAAACTCGTTACTAACGAGCAGACGTATAGATAGCAACAGCTCAATATTCAGAAGCAATGTTTGTTTTGAAAACAAAATCTTTAACACATTATATTTTGATGAACTGAAGGGGAAAATGATGTCAAGAGGCCACATAAATTTGCAAATATACACATTTTTACTCCCCTTCTTCCACCAAGAAGAGAAATCTGCATGAGTGTGTAATAACAAGTATAGCTTGAACAGAGCAGTATGTGAAGGATGTATCAGCCATCATTTACCAACCATGCAGAGAAATCTGCAAATCCAGTGAGGAATAACAAATATGGCCCTAATATAGCAGTCTTTGAAGGTTAGATCAGCCATCATTTACCCACCTTTGAAAATGTTTGCTTAAAAATATTTAAACAATTCTGAACCTACATACTACATAAAGAGTTAAACTCTTAGTACATATTAGAAACTTAATTCTACACCGATTTCTACATCTGTTCAATTGGTTTGCCTAAATATTAAAGGCAAATTTTACAACATATAAACTAAAAAAAACCTGGACTTTTGTTAATGGCAATTCACAATATGGCAACTATATCTTACTCAAATTTACACTGTACTAGCCAGTTTGTATCATCTACCTACACAAATGAAACACATCTACCAATAGCAATGGTAAGCAGTCAATTGTTACTTACATTATGTGAAGGTTTAAGTGACACATGAGCATAGTTGGCGATCTAAATTTACTGTAATGTAAATTTCATATTTTTTAAATATTAATTCACTCTTTCATTTCAGTTCTACAGCAGGCACATGTGCAGCCCATTGTCATTACAACAACCACTGCTGCCCCAGTAACTTGCATGCCCATACGCTGTGTGTCACCATGTAATGTTGGTGTTGTCATTATGTCAGATGGCTGCCCTGCCTGTAAATGTCCTGATCATGTTTAAAGATCATAAAAATTAACATCTAGAATCTCTTCATTCATATATATATATAAATTCCAACTCTACAAAGAAAAGCTGACTGGTATGATGAGATTCCTGTCAGCAATGTATCTTGACCTTACAATATGATTAAGTAATTATCATCAATAAATTTGGCAGTTGTAAGAAGTGTTTCATGTTCTCGTTGAGATAAGCATTCTATATTCCTGTTCTTTCACAAAGATAGTTCCAATGACTCAAACTGTGCAAGCTTCTTCCACAGCCATGCTTTGCATTTCTCTCACTTCAGTCCCATTGCAAAGGAAGGTCTTAGAACTGAAAATGAGCATGCTGATTCCACTGTCAAGCCATGTATTTCATTTCAGTCCCATTACAAAGGAAGGTCTGAGAACTGAAAATGAGCATACTGATTCCACTGTCAAGCCATGTATTTCATTTCAGTCCCATTACAAAGGATGCTCAGCTGAATTAAACTGTACTAGCTGCTTCCACAGGCAAACTGTTCATTTCTTCTCTCATTTCAATGGCTATCACAAAGGTAGTTCAAAATGTCTCAAACTGAGCATGCGGTCTCCATATGCAACAACTGTACTTTACCCTCATTTCAATTCCTGTCTTAAGACAGTATAGTAGTTCCAATGACTCAAACTGTGCAAGTTGCTTTCGCAGTCAAGCCCACTCATCACCTTATCAGATTAGTTTTGCTAAACATTTTTTCTCCACCAGTTCTGCATTATGATCAAATGAATAAGGTTGGAAATACAGTCTATCACGACTCTTTAATCATCCAGTCCTTCACATTCTCAATACACGTTCTATCATGACTCTTTAATCATCCAGTCCTTCACATTCTCAATTCACGGTCTATCACGACTCTTTAATCATCCAGTCCTTCACATTCTCAATACATGGTCTATCACGACTCTTTAATCATCCAGTCCTTCACATTCTCAATACACGATTTATCACAACTCTTTAATCATCCAGTCCTTCACATTCTCAATACATTGTCTATCGCGACTCTTTAATCATCCAGTCCTTCACATTCTCAATACATGGTCTATCACGACTCTTTAATCATCTAGTCCTTCACATTCTCAATACACAGTCTATCACGACTCTTTAATTATCCAGTCCTTCACATTCTCAATACACGATTTATCACAACTCTTTAATCATCCAGTCCTTCACATTCTCAATACATTGTCTATCGCGACTCTTTAATCATCCAGTTTTTCACATTCTCAATACATGGTCTATCATGACTCTTTAATCATCTAGTCCTTCACATTCTCAATACACAGTCTATCACGACTCTTTAATCATCCAGTCCTTCACATTCTCAATACACGATTTATCACAACTCTTTAATCATCCAGTCCTTCACATTCTCAATACATTGTCTATCG